CAGGGCTGGTGTATGGGGGGGGGGTCTCTCCTGCAGCGCGGTGTCTGAGCCGTCTGGCCGTGTCCTGCGGCAGGGATGCCCGACCTGCGGCACGGGGCACAGGGCAGGGAGCAGAAAGCAGAGCAGCACATCAGGCATGGAGCAGAAAGCAGAGCCCAGGGAAGGGATCGTGGCAGGACTCAGAGAAAGCGCAGGGCTAATTCGTGGCACATGGGGTGCCCCCCCCCGAGTGGTGTACATTCGTGCTGTCCTCATTCATGTGGGCCCCTCCCTGGCGGGGGCTGCCTCTCCACCATGCACACACATGAAGTGCCTGGCACGGGGGCATGGGCGCCGTGGGACCCAACCGGGGGAAGGCGGTGTCCCTCGCTCCAGCTGAACCAACTCACCGTCTTTGGGAGCAGGGAGTAGCCCCACCTGTGGCTCGATGCACGGCTGTGGCAGGCGAGAGTGGTGACGACTGTGCAGAGCGTGTCGGTCCCTCGCTGCTCTCTGAGGAGCGACTTGTGCTTCGAGGCGAAGTGCGTTACCGGAGGCGAGCCTGGCTGCCACCAGACTAGCAGGGGAAGTCTGTAGTTTGGTGCTCGCATCGCTGTAGCTGATCTTGCTCGTTCCTGGCTGCCCGTGCTCCACGCAGCGCGGTCGAGCTCTGCAAGCGGCTCCGCTCAGCAGCCAGACGCACCGGGCAGGAGGGGAGCGGCACCAGGGGCTGCTGAGGCCAGCTTTGCAGGTACTGCTCGTTTCTTGCTTTTCTTACAGGTGAGGGCTTTCTCTCTGCTGTTCGCGAGGGCTTCTCCTGCGTGGCGCCGGGCCTGGGAGCTGCTTGACCCTGTCGTGGTGTGTCTTATGCCTGTTGCTGAGCGTGACGTACGTCCCACATCACCGCTGTGAACCATGACATACATTGCATCGTCACCCGTGAGAACGGCAACATGCATCCGGTGTCATCACCCGTGAGACCTGTGACATGCACCCTGTGTCAGTACCCTGGAGGACTGCAACATGCATCCCATGCCGCTACCCGTGAGAATGGCGGCATGCATCCTGTGTCATCACCTATGAGAAACGTGACGTGGCATCCTACGCCACTACCCACGAGAACCGCAACATGCATCCGATGTCATCACCCATGTGAACCGTGTCATGCATCCCATTTCACCACCTGTGAGAACAGTGACATACATCCTGTCACCACTTGCAAGAACAATGACATGCATCCCACGTCATCACCCATGAGACCCGCAGCATGCATCCTGTGTCACTCATTACCCATGAGAACCCGGACATGCATCCCATGTCATCATCCCTGCAAACCGCGACATGCATCCTGTGTCATCACCCATGACAACCGGGACATACTTGCCACCCGCTGCACCACAGCCTGCGATCACAGTTCAGCGTGACATGGCCCGTGCAATTCCTGGCGCTAAACACGATGTGTGGTCTGGTGAGTCGACGATGACCTGCGCCCCACGCACACACCGATGCTGCTCCCCTCCCTGCAGCCTGCTCCGTACCAAATACTTCCTGACTATTGCATGACAAGTCGTTTTGGTTATTCCTATTTTTTTAAATGAAAGCATCGCTTTGTGCGGAGAGCCCTGCATGCGAGAGACTGCGGTGCAATGAGTTTGTTGTGACTTTTGGTTTCCCACGCAGGCGCTGCTCCTCTCCTTCTCCCTCTGAGCATTTTGTGAGCTCTGCCGTGCACGACTATCTTTGCTATGCTGCAGAATAGCAAGTTATAATCACTGGGAAAGATGTTTAGGGCCATTGGTGGGCCCAAAGCAGCTCACTGAGCTGCAGAAGAAAGGCCGAGCACCGGGTTGCAGCAGTGCGTGGAGCTCCTGTTCACACCGCTGGGTTTTTAGAAAGTTGCTTTTCCTACGTTGGATGCTCCAGTAACTGAGCTGCGGCAGCTGCTGCATGTCCCACGGAGATGACCGAGCCCCAGAGCCGCATCTCAGCAAGCTGGGGGGGGGCCTGAATGATCCCCGTGACGCTTGCAGCAGGTAACGTGTCTCCCTTCTGCTCTCTGCTTCTTTCTGTTCCTGGTCCCTTCTCCAGACGCTGGTGTGGTGTGCCGGGGCAGGCTCCCAGCTAGCGTGCTGCTCTTTCACTTCGCTTCTGTTACAGCAGGGCCCAAGGGCGAGTTCGTTGCTTCCCACGAAGTGCAGCAGGTGCCGCACAACAGACCGAGACCACCCAGCCCCAAAGACGGAGGGGCTAGGAGCGGGGACAAGTCTCTCATGCAGACAGAAGCCGTGATCCCGGGTCTCCCACATCCCAGGTAGGTGAGGAAAAGTGTGGGGGTCTCTGGCCAGGCCTGGAAAGGGAGGGATAACATAGAGGGCTGCCTCCGGGGGAGAGTTTCTGGCTGCAAGGGGCTGCCCACCACCCACTGCTAGGCATGTCTGCACTGCAGATGCTTGCCTGCGACGTGGGGTAGGCGATTTAAAGCTGGCTCGAGCCCCGAGAGCGCAGGGTTTGGCTTGGCGTTAACTGCCCGAGCACTTGCCCTGTGTCGCAGGAAGGTTTTACGGCTTGCGCGGAGGGCTGCGCTGCTGCAGCCGGGCTGGACCGGGTCCCTGAGGTCACTCCTTTGAGGCTGTCTTGGGGAGGGTAAGAGGGGCTGGCAGAGAGCACCGCGGTGCCCGTGCTCCCTGGTGCATCGAGCTCTTGGCCCCTCGAGCGCCGGGAAGCTCGAGCTGCTGCAGCCCAGGTGGCTTTTCCTGGCGTCGTCAGGTCTGGGGTAAGGGACATCACCTGCTTCTCCACCGCAAAGCCCCTCAGCCTTGTTACTCCCACCCTGAGCTTGCCATCATGTTTTAGGGCCACCTGTAGAGCTGCCCTTAGGATGCTCTGAATGATGCCCGAGAAGTACTGGTCACTGAGTCTGTGTAGCCCAATAAGTGCAGCTTTTCCCTCTGTGGCCTGAGCCAGGGCTCATTAAAGTCATCAAGGGATTTGCTAATGACTTCAGGGGGCTTTGGACTACTGGTTTAGCACCCACGTAGCTGAAGAGGTGAAATCTCAGCCTGCTCCTGGCTGACATCAGTCCTGCACGGACCGCCGAGGTCTCACAACAGCACTGAGGTTAGGCTAGGAGGGGAAGGGGCTCTGGTGGGAAACAGTCCATCCAGGGCTCATCCCGGCCCCCGGGAGTCATTAAAGCAACGGATCGGTGATTTAAAGGCGGATAGTACGTACAATGCTGCCAGGGCAAGACCGAGTGTGTTTGGTGGGGGGCGCGTAGCTGGGGATTGTTCCTCCGGCACAGCGCGCAGGGCGTCCCACTTCATGCTGCTTTCCTGGGCCACCTCCCAGTGACAGAATTGGTGCAAACGATTCTGCTCATACGTAACTGGGCCCTGAAATTATTCTGCTCTGCAACAGCGACATAATTACGTTAGCAGGGCGAAAAACTGTATCGCAAGCGGCGGGCGGCCCCCCCGAACATGCCCTGCCACAGGTATGGAGCGTGAGGTTTGCCGAGCGGGCCGACGATGAAAACACCCATTGCACAGGCTCCGTGCATGCATGTTCCCTGCAGCAACGCCGCCTGGCCCGAGCTCCACCAAGGTAGGGCGGGGAGGGGCCGAGAAAATCAATGGGATTTGCTTGCATCTTTGAGGAGTCCCTGCCTGCATTCGCGGTCCCTTGTGATTGCCACAGCCGGGGATGAGTCCCTGCAGAGCCCCTGACCCAGAGATACGGGGGGTGCTGCCCACACGCTTAAAATTGAAGCGTTGTCCCCACTGCCCAGCAAAGGGATCCTTGAGTTTGAAGTGCGGAGAGCAGGTCGTGAATGGGGACAGCATTCGGGTCTGGCACTCGAGGCCGGGACCGACCGTCTCTCTCTGTCTGGATGAGAAAGCAGGATGCGCGAGCTTTTTTGTGCTTCCTACTTGCAGGGTGATCCTAGGCGAGTCATTCAGGTCACAACATTCAAAACCAGCCCCAAATCTGGGGTCCTTCGGTTTTTGGGTGCTCAGTGTCAGTGGCTAGCGCCTGATTGAACAAAGTGTCCCTTCATTCCCCCGGGGCCTCACTTTCCCCGCATCGGGGCTGAGACGGGCAGGCCGCGAGGCTACCCACGTGCCAAACGCGGAGCAGGCGTTCTCCGTGCTGTCTCTAGCGCGCCGCGCATAAAGGGTTGATGTTCTCCGTCTTTTAACAGCATTTTAATAAAAAGGTATGAATGCATGCATTAGCTCTGCCAGGGAGCTAATGGTCAAACGCAGCTCGAAAGCACAAGTGCTGCTGCTAATGATCTGCCAATTGATTTCCAGTCGTTGTTCCAGGCTCAGTCGCTGTTTCAGCTTAGGCGCAACCACTAAGTTAATGGCACGCTTCAGGATGACGGCAGACAGTGTTGGGAAGCAGGGGTCAGGGTTTGCTTTGGAAAGCTCTGGGGGGGCATGGAAACCTGCTGGGAAAAATCCCTGAGTTGCAGGACACAAGAGCTGTCCTCCCACCTGCCCGGCTTTCTGTGAGGCTTGCAGCGTCAGGGGTTGTCCCGTGGAGCCCAAACCGCTGCTGCGTCCGCACGGACTTCGATGGGTTTAGACCTGGCCTTTTATGCGGTGGCTCGCACGGCATGGTGGGCCTCTCCGTTACCTGACTGCGGGGGGAGAGTCTGATGTGCCCAAAGCTCGCCTCTCCCACGTCACAGTCACAACCCTCCGCCGGCACAAAAGGACGTGATGTGCCCGCGGCCCGTCGCATGTCAGTCGAGCCATGGCCGGGAGGGTCTGCTCAGCACCAACACCTTGATTCGTGTCCCTCTGAACACTCGTTTCAAGCACGCTGCATAAATTAGCGGCCAGAAAAGCACTAACTCGTTAGCTCAGGCTGTCCTGCTTCTTAAAACCCCCTCGCCCGTAGTTCGGCAGTGAATCTGAGTTTCTTCATTTCTTTTGCTGGGCTTCCCTTTCTCATGCGTTGCATGGCACTCATCTGCCCAATTAAGGAGGCCGCGTGAAAGGAAGAATGTTTTACTTAAAGAAACCGTCATTTCCTTTTTCTTCTGTGTTTTTTTTTTTTTTAAAAGGAATATTTGACAATCGTCTCCAGCTCCTGAAAAGGAGAAACAGATATGTTTCTTTTGTGCTGGTCTTGAATCCATTTGAAGGCAACGGGGCATCACAGCTGGCTGCTTAAATGTGAACGGTCTAAAATGTATTAGATGGATCATCGCGCTGTTTACTGCAGACGATCATCAGAGAGAGCTAACAGAGCCCAGGCTCAGGGCCCAGCTCTCCTCCCATCAAAGTCAGGGTCACTTTTTCTGATAGCAGCCAGAGCAGCCCTTTGGACACCCATGGGGACACGCGCCAGAAGTAGTGCAAATAGTCCTCCTGCCGCAGGAGTGCTGTTTGTACAAAGCGTGACAGGCTGCAGATACAAGCGGCATCTGCCAGAGCAAGCCTATTTTATTTTTATTAACCTGAACTTTTGGCTTTCCGCAGCAGTTCACCTTTCAAGGCTGACTTTCCACTGGAGCGTCCAATTAGCCCCTTACTCAGGGTCTTACAAAGCGTGCAGGAGGCTGGCTGTGCATCAGCTCAGCCCGAGCTCGTACGCTGCGGGGGGACGTGTGGAAACCCAACGGCCGAGGCTGCCGACTACCAGCCGAGAAGAAAGATTGAGGGCTGGCTCTGTGCGGGGATGGCCTGCGCTAGTCTCCTTTGCTAATGACACGCTTGGGAGAGTAGGCATCCTCAGCCTCCGAGAAATTTTCCTAGGCAACGTTAGGGTGTCATCGCTCATGTGCAAGCATGGTTTTGCCGGCCAGGCGGCTCTCCCTGTTCGTACCACAGCAATAGTCAGAGGATCATCACAACTTCTTCCCTTATTCCATGTAGGAGCAACCGAGAGCGCTGCCTGATTTCTCTTGCAAGTCTCAAACGTAGGGTAGAAAATAACAGATGTGAAGAATACCTCGTGCATCTGCTTCCGGGCCGGGGATTGGAGACAGTGCTGCAAAAATGAGTAGCGGGTTAATTAAAGGTTTTCCAGCATCACTGTGGGTTTGATTTCTCAAGCGGAAGTTGAGCTTTGTTCTTGATTAATTAAGGCTGGGCGAGAAGCAGTGCTGCAGAGGAACGGCTCAAGCTCCTTCCTTCTCTGCCTCACGAGGCTTGTGTCCAAGTGACTTGACTTACCATCATGTCGTTCTTTGCTTCTGCAGGCACCGGCGAGATGGAAGAGCGCAGCAGTGTTGTCCTTCCCGTCATTTTTGGCATCATTTGCCTCGTGGGCACCGTAGGGAACTGCATCGTGATCTACACCATCACCAGAAAGCCCAAGAGGAACCGTAACACAGCAGATGTCTTCATTGTGAGCCTCTCCATCACCGATCTCCTCTTCCTGCTGGGAATGCCCTTCCTCATCCACCAGCTCCTTGGGAACGGCGTCTGGCTTTTTGGGGCTACCATGTGCACCATCATCACAGCCTTAGATGCCAATAGCCAGTTTGCTAGTACTTACATCCTCACGGCCATGTCCATCGACCGCTACCTGGCCACGGTGCACCCCATCCGCTCTGCCTACATGCGTACCCCCTGCACGGCTGCGGTGGTGATCTTGCTGCTGTATCTCCTGTCCCTGCTAACCAGCGTGCCAGTGTTCATGTACAGCCAGCCCATTGCCCTGCCAGGCAGCAGAGCAGGGTGCGGCATCATCTTGCCCAACCTCTCGGTGGATATCTACTGGTACACGCTGTATCAGTTCTTCCTGGCATTTATCATTCCTCTCTTGGTCATCTGTATCGTGTACCTGAAGATACAGAAGCACATTTCATGTGTGGTGTTACCACTGCCCCAGAGGAACTTCAGGGCCAGGACTAAGAAAATCATGCGGATCGCGGTGACCATCTGCTCCGCGTTTTTTGTCTGCTGGGCACCCTATTATATACTGCAGCTGGTTCATCTCAAAGTCACCCAGCCCACCACTGCCTTTCTCTATGCCTACAACGTCGCCATCAGCCTCGGTTATGCAAGCAGCTGCATCAACCCATTCATCTACATTGTGCTGAGTGACACTTTCCAAAGAAACCTGGTCAAGGCCATTTGCCCTGGGCGCCCGGTCAGGAGAGGCAAGAGACGCCCCGCCGGGAAAGTCAGTCCTGCTGTGAAATTAAATTCGGGGCCGCATCAGGAGACCTCGCTGAGCTTGATGTACTCTCACAATACAGGCAACTATCTCACTGTCTCGGTTCCTTAAAGAACCGGGCTTAAACTCAGCAAAACAGCGATCAAGCTGCAGAGAACACACTGCAAGGTTGTAGGCCTTTTTGGGGGGGAGAAGTATGGTGGTGACTGGCTCATGCGGGACACAGCTAGGGGTACGAGGGTGAATTTAAGAATTACTTAGGCTGAAGAGTTCCTACCAGCGAGGCTGGTGGGTGATTTTAATAAGGAATGTGGTGGAAGCCCCATCCATCGCCTGAGCTTCTGCCACTAGCACTTGATTTGACTGAGCGTGCATGGGTTCATTGCTGGGAAGGCTGCTGCCCGGGAAGAGAAGATCTAAATGACGATATGGCCCTTATTTGCCTCTGATTTCCATCATTCTGGTGGTATTTTTTTGTGAACAGAAACCTAATTATTCAGTTTAAGGAGAATGTGTTCTTCTGATGCTGCTCCCTTTGTTGGTGACAACATAGGTGTTATAAATGTCACAGTTTTGGATGGGCTCAAGCATTTGGATTAAGGTCAGCAATCTGGCTGGCTGGAAGAGATTTCCCTGTAATAAAATGGAAGCTTGGGGTTATTGCCACAGTTGAGCCACACAGGAAACCTTGTGGCAGGAGTGGCTAGGAAAAGGTATGTGGGAAATGGGAAAATTATCCAATAAATAAAGCCAGGGGGCTTGTTACAGGTCCCAGGGGTGTGCAGAGCACGAAAGCATGTCAGAGGGCTTTTAAATTAGAGCTATATATAATACAAATCCTTTCAATGGCAGTAAGTTTGCAGTAGCTGCAAACCTGAGAGCAGCAAGGTTTCTCAGAAGCTACTACTACCGTCGTTATTAAGGATTTGGTTTCTAGAACTTGATCTGTCACCCTCCTCCCTGCTGGGTGTGACAGCGTGGTCCTCTCCTCGCTGCATTATCAGGACATAGGTTCGCTGCCGTTTTGCAAGGGAATATGGCTGTATGGAGATTTGTTTTTGATAGACGACTGCCTGAGAAGGCAGGGGACTCTTGCGTTAGGTCTGCCATGGGCATACACACAGCTGAACTTGCTTTCCGTTCATGTGGAGGCAAGAGCAAGCCCTTCCCTGGAAAAAGGATGTGCTGATTACGTACCTCAACAGTGACCCTTCGTGGCAGATGAAGGCGTGACAGCGACAGCCTGCTGGCAAATCCTCCAAGAACAGCACTGGTGTTTGCTGCTTACCTAGCATGAGAAGCACATGCCGTGCGGTGTAATAGGTGAACCGTGCTAGACAGTGCTGGGAGGTGACTGAAATACGGACATGCACAACGAGCATCCCAAAGGAAGTGGGACCATCTTAAACACTCCACCCAGGATGCCCAGAGTCCCTGGTAGGCAAAAGGGACCCAGATAACAGGCAAAAATGGGGCCAGGTCAAACCCCTGTCACCTACGGTACCCGATGATCTTGCAAGGTCCCTTCCAGCCCCTTACTATCTATGAACCTATGGATCCACACGCTTTGTCTCTAAGGTATTTGCAGCTGTTTTCTTTTAAATGTCTGCAGAATAAAGATTAAATCTATTCCTGTTTAGAGCTCCTAGTGCCTGAGTGCTGCCATCGAGAGTTATGTCATTCAGTCACATCCCATTCATATAGGGTCCGTGGGGGCCACATAGGGAAAGGGCTCTTATGTCCTGAAAATGGAGGCACCCTGAAGAAGAACAGAAAAGACAGAGGAAGAAGAACCAACGAATGCACAAACAGCCAACACCAAACTACTGCGTTAGAGTGGGCTTGTGTATCAGCACCACACAATAAAAGCTATTTCTGCATAAAATTGCCGCGTGTCTGCGAGAGTAAAGTTTAGGTTTCAATCTTAGTTTTGTAGATTTTTGTGCACGGAATAACCGTCATGCTGTTTTGCTCTCATTTGAACTGAGGTTAAGTTATCCCAGATGAGTAAAAATCTCCAGCATGTTGCATTTGAGCTGTTTTACATTATTTAACTCTGCTTTTTAAGTATGTCAGAGCTCGTCTACTTCGGTAGTGGTACAGCCATTATTACCACTGTAACCAAATATCTACCAATTATTCTTTACCACAGGAAAAAAAATCCCTCTTCTGTTGGCTGGGATGAAAGGAAGAGTAGTTGGTGCCTGAACTAGTCACAGAGAAGGGGCAGTATGGTGTAGCCAAAGCACCAGGTAGGACACATTCATTAAATCATACAAGAGCAGATGAAAAGGAAGCTAAAGACCAAGAATTAATGTATGAAAAAGTAATTTATGGAGAACACACGTATAAAACCATTCATTGGCCATACAAAACATACTAGGGAACAGACAAAAATTCCAAGATGCTTTATATTAGCTTTGCAAATTATATTTCCAAATAGTGTCCACATGGACTGCTCTATAGCATGAGGAACTACAAGCAGTGCTCTTTGCATCATAGGTACTCCAAATGCCTGGTACTTTTCGTTTGTGCTGTTTTTTTAATGTCGCTGTGATTTCCATACGGACAGGGATCATGTTAAATCTGGTCTTCTAGCTTTTGAGACCAAACTTTGCAAATTTGCATGCCCTGAATTTACGTTCAAACTGACTAAATTGTCTCACAGTGGATTTAACACGTACACCTCAGGTACAAAGGGCACAAGATGATCTTGGATTAACATGTTTCCCCAAGACAGAAAAAGCAGCGCAGAGGACACAAAGAGAAATATTTATACTTGGTTTTTTTCAGTCCAAAGGCAGAGATCACTAGTCCTGGCTTATAACAGGACTCATTGAAATGCATCAGGAGAAGGCATCAAGAGAAGCTCTGCAAAACAAAGGTCATTTTCAGCACCCTCATACGGCAGACCCCTGAGACAGGGGAGCAGTCACTGTGATGAGTTGGAACAAGACTGTCCAACCTCAGGGAGAGAATTAAGGAGTGGAGAAAAGCCTGCCTGTCAAATTCAGTGTGGTTTGATTATTCTCTTTACCAATTACAGAAAGCCACGGTGTAATTCCAGGGGAAACGAATACACCTCCGGCAAAGCCCCTCTTCTGTCTGTTGATCTTGCCCAGGCAGTAGAGTGAGGTATTGCAGGTGAGGCCCAGGGCCATCAGCTGAGAGTTATTGCTTTGTAGAGCTGGGCTGACGGGAGAAATGTCTTTGGCACAAGTGGACAGAACGCAGACTCCAAATGGACACGTGGGGAGAGAGATGTGGCCTGACCGCTACCCCTGCGCCAGCTAATGCCCTTTGGGGTAGAGGACTGCTCACTGCTTGTGGCTGTGCCCATATCCTGTGTGCTTGGACTGTATTTGGCTTTCCCAGATCCTCACCCTCGCTGCACATAGATGAGATTGAAGAGCTTGCAGCAAGGACATGCTGAACACAACACTCTCGGGGAATTATTTGTTTTCTAAAATGAACCACATAGGGTTTGCTTTAAGCTTGATTGGGGGAAAAAATCTGGAAATGGGAAAGCAATGTGTGCGTGTGCCCAGTACTTGCTTTAAAATCAAAAGCCAAATTGCTCTTGCTGATAATTTTGGGAGGATTTACTTTTACACTTTATTCAACATCTTAGTCACAGGCAACTTCTAAAGCACTGAAATGGGATTATAACGGAAACCTGCAATAGCAGCACAGACAAGAAGTGCTGCCGTGGTAGAGGAAAGAGCATGACTGTTTCATTAAACATTCTCAGACTCCCTTTCTTTTCAAGGTATTTCAGTTTGGATTTCACACGACTATTATAAAAGCATTAGTAAATGGCTTTGGGTTCATGCTAGCGTTCTGAGTATGACGAAAACATTTAACAATGTAAAAACATGCAATTCTGTAAGTAAATAAAAATGTACAAAAGATTATTTTACAAAAAGTGTTTTGTTATGCACCGTGTCTTGAAACTGGTTACAGTATCTTAAAATGGTAGCCATTTACTAATCCAATGGCATTAGGATTCATACACATTTTCATAAACCCTGTCTGCTTAACACGTCGCACTGTGTTTTGTACATAGATGCAATATAATATCATACAGAGGCCAAACCGGCTGGAGTTTATTTGGAAAGTAGAGCTCCAGGCAAAACTTTCTAAGAATAGGAAGTCATTCAATTCCAGCGGAAGAACAGAAGTCAGCGTGGGCAGTCGCTCCCGTTCGTGCCTTGGGAAAGCTCCTGTCTAGTTTAATATTTATGAATCCCCTCGGTCAGAGACATTAGGGAAGGATTCTGCATGTCACTCGGGCTTACATCATAGCCTAACTTCTTCATGTCTTTAGTCACGACGTTGAAGGAAATGGTCACAAAGCCTTGGGAACGCACCCTGGTCACTGGAAATAGGAGGACACAACATTAGCCAGCAGAGCTCACTGAAGAGCCATACATTCCCCCCAGAATACCTGCATGGAGCTGTGCTCAGCACGGTCAATCCACTCGTGAAGTTTTGGCAAACAAAAGAAAGGCCCATACTGGCACACAGGAAGCAGGGACTGAAACTCCCGATCATTTACCTTCTCGTCCTTCTCCCTGGGCGACCACCCTTGGGTCGGTGAACTCTGGACGCCTTCCTGTGAGCCAGCTGGGAAAAAAGAGAAAAGAAAGCTATAAACGGATTGACCACATTGTTTTACTGACGTTAAGTCAGCACCGGATTAGATCCACTGGGTGCGTCTACACGTTGCTGCGTTTCAGCATTTCCTTTTTGAAGAGCTAACATGGCGCAGTAATGGGCCGTACTGTGCCATGTGGGTGGTGCAGGCTTAGACTTGCCTGCTACATTGCCGTAGTGGTGCGCTATAAGCGGGGAGTGCGCCGCTACAGTGACGTAGCAGGTGATCATGTGTAGGCCATTGTAAGGCGACGTGTAGACTTGCCCACTGAGTAGGACCTTTGGGAGCAGTCTCACGGAAATGAGACTACTTGTAGAGTCAGAAGCTGCTGATCGGGACGAGCTGGGAGCAGGATGAGCTGGGAGATCACTATTAGGTCCTAAACATGCATGCTATAGCTAGCAACTGCTTAGGTTTTTTTTTGGAGCTTCTTTGTACAGCCCAAGTAAAGCAGGACTTGCATCTGACTGCCATTCAATAATTGGGGGGTGGGGATTGTACCAGGTAATGCTATTTCTATTTTGATTGAACTACAACGGAAGAAATGCTGAACCATTTACTGGTAGGAAATGCTCCTGGCTCTACTCAGCCTTGAACTGTTAAATGTATGATCTATTGTATATTTGCCCAGCTGTCATGATGTACTTGTAAAAAAGTTATACTGACAGTGCCATAAAAAGCCATAAAAAGGTTAAAAAAACTCTCAAGAAGTAAAGACTGTCAGAAATCATTCCTGTTTGTCTGTGTTTAACATGTGTATTTGATGCACTACAGTTTATATAGTCCGGTGCCAGAAATTTTCTGTTGGGAAAGACAAGAAGTGACTGTGCTACCCTGATTATACTGCTTCAATGCATTTATCAAAGTATATAGAGGCTAAACTTGAAGCCGACAGAACGACCCTCCAACACATGCACATATACGTGCATGCACACCTACCTACTTATCTCTATTCCTACTTCTACAAAGCCATTTTGCCTCTTATCTCCTTGTTGTTCACTACCAAGCTCCTTAACCATTTCAACAAATATTCCTGATCATTCCACTAGGTGTTTCTGTCCTATTTTGTAATTGTTTCAGCTCCTCTTGCTGGATGTAATATCAAGCAAAACTACCTCTGGGCTCTTGGACACCAAACAGACAAAAGCTTTGGGACTCTCTGACTTGCTTTCACGGCATCATTGGGCTCTTTTAAGTGGGATTAGCCTAAAATTGCCATTTTTATGGCACATTAAGGGCATGTGTCCACATATGCATGCCCTTTATGCACCTTAAAAATGGTGATTTTAGGCTAACTCTGCCTAAATTTGATACCTATTTAAAGCAATTACCAATTTAGGCTGGCATACCTAAGTCACATTAGTCCACACGTAGATGATTAATGTGCATTAGCACAGCTACATGTGAGCTAATGTGACTTAGCTATGCAAGCCTAAATTTAATGTGCCTTAATGCACGTTAGCTTGTCTACATGGAGATGTGCACCTAAATCAGCTTAATGTACCTTAAAGGCGCATTAAGTTTAGGCACGTGTAACTACACATGTAGACACGCCCAACTGACTTTCATATAGATTGGACATTTCTGGTATTTAGATATGGTCATTTCCTTGAGAGAAGCAATGATTTTTGGAGTGTGAAAGATGGACTCCTTGCTAAGGAGAGCCAGCTGATCCTCTGCCAGTATGCTTCATCCATGCAAAGACAGCAGCGGAAAGGGATCTTGGAGTCATAGTTGACTCCAAACTGAACATGAGTTGTCAATGTGATGAAGTGATCAACAAGGCTCACCGCACTTTATCATGCATTAGCAGATGTGTGCTGAGCAGGTCCGGGGAGGTGATGCTTCCCCTCTGTGTGGCACCGGTTAGGCCGCAGTTGGAGTACTGCGTCCAGTTTTGGGTGCCACACTTCAAAAGGGATGTGGAGAATCTCGAGAGGGTCCAGAAGAGGCTGCTCGTATGGTCAGAAGCCTGCAGGCAAGGCCCTACGAGGAGAGACTGAGAGACCTGGATGTCTTCAGCCTTCGCAAGAGAAGGTGATCTTGTGGCTGCCCATAAATTCATCAGGGGAGGGCAGCAGGGAACAGGAGATGCTCTATTTACTAGGGGACCCCCTGGAGTAACTAGGAACAATGGCCACAAATTGATGGAGAGCAGATTTAGGTTGGACATTAGGAAGAACTTCTTCAGAGTGAGGGTTGCCAGAATCTGGAATGGGCTGCAAGGGGGGTGGTGCTCTCCCTTGCCTTGAGGGTCTTCAAGAGGAGACTGCACAAGCACCTGGCTGGGGGTGTCTGACCCCAGCGCTCTTTCCTGCCCAGGGCAGGGGGTTGCCCTCGATGGCTTCCTGAGGTCCCTTCCAACCCTAATATCTATGAATCTATGACAGGAAGCAACTGGACTACTGACCTTAGAAACATTATTGCCTGACCTTATTGCCCAATGGCCTGTCTGGAAGAGCTGTACTTAATCTTAACGAGAGTTGCAAGGAGCCATTTTAACAATGCAAACTGGCCTGTAATATGTAAAAGTGAATCTATGTTCATTGGAACAGGTAACAATTATAACAAGGATAGCAGTGTCTGGGGCTCAAATGGTTTCTGGCACCCTTTTCAAAAGTGGTGGCAATGTTTTGACCACCTCTGGCTCGTTTCAATACATGTTTTCCATCTCTCAGTTAGGTATTAGCACAGATTTGGAATCAACCAGTCAGAGGACAATACAATTTGTTTCCCCACATCCGGTGCTCAATTTACTGTTATCAGAATATCACATTACAGGGGGGAGGGAGGGCAGCACAGCGATCAATGGATATTAAGTGAATATGGTTTGTCCCTGATGTCGCTACACAAAATGTTATATAAATGACAAGCAGATTAGGATTGTAAATGGAAAAGCTGCAGCGAAGCAATGCAATACAGCTTGCACCTTTAAAAAAAATCATTTAATAATGATTTAAAATCAGGTTTAATAATGATCAAAAATTTCATGCACTCTTTCACCACTTACTGCTATATCTGTGAATGATTTTTTTCAGTCGTCTTAACCTCATTTAAAAAACCAAACATCATTGAAAAACCAAACTGCTGCTTATGACCCTGATCCTGCTGACCTCTGTACCCACATGAGACACACGACAGATCAATCTGCAGGGAAGATTTCAGAGACCCGGGAAAAAGTGTCAAAAAGATCAGAGGCTGAACAGGGTCACAGAGCTGGGAAAGCTCTTACTGTTGTACTGGCATAACAGGCAAAGTCTTCACTGACGATGTGGGGGAAACATGTTGTACTGGGAAGAGTATAACCATACAGAAAGACTTGTTTGTCACTCTGAAAAGCTTCCAGTTTAATTAAAAGTAGAGGACAGCGTTGGCATAAGAACAAAGGGGTACGAATTGGTCAGAAATAAATTTAAAAACTGGAAGAAGGTTTCTAACTAGCAGAGGAGTCAGATCCTGGAACCAACCATCTGATATAAGTAGTGGGGGCAAAACAACCAAACAAAATACCCCTGCAACTGGTTTTGAGATACAGCTTGATAAATATATGAATGACGTTATATAGCAGAGCTGCCTGCGGTCTGGACTCGGTGACCCAGAGGTCTTGTCCAGCCCTATACCCTGTGCAATACAATGCATCTCAGAAGTTATTTCTGAAGCAAGACGTTACATTAAAATGGAACCCGTTTAAACAACAGAAGGTTGTAACCCAAACTGATGGGAGCTGAAACATTACTTTTTAAGGTTTGCATCATGCCCTCAATTTTCTTCATCTTACCTCTACAGCTTTCACTACGAAACAATTCATACTAAAGCTTCAGCAACTGCGGGACAATGGCCAATATTCAGTTTTGAACTTCCTGCCTTCTGACAAATATCTTTTGACATACATTTCATGGCTATTCAGTTGAGTATGTATATGAGAGAGGGAATACTGGGACTTTTCCTAATCACCTTCTCCAAGTGCTTAGAAATGGTTTCTTTGAGGACCTGCTCCATGATTTTTCTGGGGACTGAGATGAGGCTGACTGGTCTGTATTTCCCTGGATCCTCCTCCTTCCCTTTCTTCAAGATGGGCACTATGTTTGCCCTTTTCCAATTGTCTGGGATCTCCCCCAATTGCCAGAGTTTTCAAAGATGATGGCCAGCGGCTCTGCAATCACATCAGCCAATTCCCTCAACACCCTCGGGTGCATCTCATCGGGCCCCATGGACTTGTATGCATCCAGCTTCGCTAAATAGTCCCTAACCTGTTTTTTCACCACTGAGGGCTGATCACCTTCTTGCCAAACTGTGTGGCTTGGTGCAGTACTCTGGGATTTCTGTGCATCCAAATCAGTGAAGTAGTTCCTATTAATTTAAAAGGGTGTCCCTTCCTCTAGAAATGTTCCAAGGAAGACCAAATTCCCCAACAGTTCTGACTTTAGCATTCATTACCTTATACCATGATGGAGCATAAAAGAAGATAGGGAGAAGACTTACTTCCTTAACAAAAAATTAAGTGTCAAAAAAGATGTTGCTATTCAAGAAAAATGAACTGATAATAAGCAATATAGTCAGATCTTCATACTCAGAATGTGAAAATGTTCCCTGGTGAAATGATTCAAATATATTTTTTAAACTTTTTATGCCGTACTTAATATTCTGTGTCTTCATAATGATCATTTTCATTCTGCACTGGTCCCTGCAACAGATGTTGCTGAACTACATGAAGAAAAATAAGTGCAATACTTGTGCAAATCTATGCAATAAAGACATTAATGTGCTTCCTTCAGTTCTGCAAATAATGAAGTTATTTCAGTTTATTTGCAAAAATGCCTTCACTGCAAATGCTATTCTTTATTTTTAGGAGCCTTAAAGAGTGGAAGGGAATATGTGGCACTTTGTCTTTGATAATCATTTATCAAATGGGCTACAAAAAGATGAAATTACACAATATTACATTAAGAAGACTGATAATGTAAAATGTTAAGGAAGCATCTGGAGAGAGAAAGTCACAATTTCAGCTAGTTACCACATGTGTGTCCATGAAAACCAGAATGCCATGCTTACCCTTACCCAAACCTTATGCACATGAGGAGTGAGCAACACTATCAAAGTCTTTACCCATGGGACTAATATCACCTTTAATTATTACCTTGTGAATTTCTGCAGCTTTGATGTTGATTCTGGAACAAACATAGCAATTGTTCGTTCGTGCCTAAAGAGAAGTGACAAAGACACGGAAGTTATTTCCGAAACGCACTTATATCAATGTCTAATACGTCTATATTTATTGTGGTAACAAAAGTTCAAACATGACTTTAAAAATAAAGTGCATGAGGGACCTGTAGTTCATGAACACAAAAGAGTTTATTTACATGGAGAAGCCTGCATTAGAGGAGCAGCTTCCAGCAGGTGCAATATCCTAAAGACAGATGAAAGGGTTGAACAACTCGCAGTGAAAATTCAGTCTTCAGCTGCCCTGCCTTTACACAACCTAAGGGCTTCTCTACAGTGGGACGGTAGCACATGCAAAGCTAGAGGGTGCACTTCACGCTATTACCCTTTGTAGATATATATAGTGCACACAAAGGGTGAAATAGCTTACTTCACTTTCAGTCATTTGTGTCCACACTCACAGGCAACATAGAGTAGGCACAGCGCTCTAAATACAATCTGTAGCTTACTGCACATTGACTTCCCCGTGGAAACAAGTCCAAAATTAGAACCTATGCTAAATTCAAAGCCTCAAGGCTAAGAGTATGTCCATGCTGCAAGTTAGAATGGGGATTCACAGTAATTTAGGGCTGGAAGGGACCTTGTGAGATCACTGGGTCCAGCCCCCCTGCTCTGAGCAGGAAAGACTGCTAGGGTCAAGTAACCCCCGCAAGGTGTGCGTCCATCTCCAGGGCAGGTGCCCTCACCACCCATGCTGGGAGTCTATTCCAGGGTCTGGTCACATGAACTGTGAAGAAGTTTTTCCTTATATCCAATCTGAAACCTTCTCCTATGTGTTTATGACCATTGCTCCTGGTTTTCCCTTGGGGCACTTTGGAAAATAGCTGTTCGCCTAGCCCCTGATGCTCATCCCTGATACATTTGCAAGCTGCCACCAAATCCCCCTGATGGCTTCTCTCTTCTAAGCTGAACAGTCCCATATCTGTCAGCCTTTCCTCATCTGGCTTGCTCTTCCGGCCTCTGATCATATGAGTGGCTCTTTTCTGGACTCTCACAATCTTCTCCACATCCTTCTTGAAGTTCGGCGCCCAGAACTGGATGCAGTACTGCAGCTGAGGCCTCACCAAAGCTGAGTAGGGCAGGAGAATAACTTCCTTAGTTTTGCTTGAGATGCATGGGTTGATGCATGCCAGCATATTGTTTGCTCTGCTAACTGTAGCGTCACACTGCTAGCTCAGGCATGAAAAGCAGTCGAGTCACAAGAGCAAAGACTTTTGAGCAGAAGGTGGGCCCCAGGACATACGTACCACTGCAACAAAACTGCTTCCACGCTACCTTGCTTAGAGCCAACCTGGTTATCTCTACCCCAACCTGCAGTAGAGTATAGACACACCTTCAGTTTTGGTAACTGCAAGCTACTACCAAGCAATGTATTGCACTCCTATGGTACAGGGAAGTTGCAAGGCAGTATTAGGGCATTTTGGGGTCCTGAAGCCACAATTTATGTTAAAAAATAGGAACACGAGAGATGGAATCAAATCCTCTTGGTAAGGGACAGCTGAAACCAAAAGAACAATCAATCATTAAACTCACCTTCCAGGCGTGAAGGGAACATGAACAGCTCCATAACCACGGACAACATCATTTCCAAAGATGTCAGGTCCGTAAACACTTAATACTATTTGAGGCCCTAAAAATCAACAATAAGTTAACTTAAAGGAGTCAGGAAAGTGGATGGATTTGGTCTTCTTATGACTTAAATTCATATTCTAATAGCTCATTGCTATTTAACAGTGCCTGCTAGCAATTAAGAACTGCAGGCCAAAGGAGTCAACTGTATTAGTTAATTAGCTGTATGGGGGAATTAACAGCCAGCAGGTATAGGCAGGCAAAGACCACTTTAAGAGAGTGCTGGCTGTATTATTGAAAAAGTAAATATAGTACAAACTTTACCAGTTTCAAAGAAATGTACTCATTAAGAAAAGGTGATGAAAGTCCTTAAAAGAAATACAGTGCCTGACAGAATACATAGAGTCTACAGGCTTAATTGCCAGAAAAAGCTAAGTGAAGCTCATACTAATTTAACTCCAAAAGAAACTTCAAAAGCAGACCAAAAAACGAGCTGCCTAAAAGTATCATAAAGAGCAAAAGTTTAACTGGATTCAGCCTAACACAAGGTACACACTGATCTGCGACGTTGACTTTTTCTTTTGCTTACAAGGGCAAAAGATGACAGGCAGAACTGTGCATGTTTCTTTACTTGGGGGGCCATTCCAGCACTTATTATGGAGACCAGCCCAAAGCATTCAACCTGACTTCCAGAGTCACAGTTAGTGCACACCAAGAACTAGTTTTGCAAAGGAACTTAGCAATACAGTGCTTTTCATTAGCAGAGACTAGATCCCGGGTTGTCATCCCCCCGTAGGAAAGTGCCATACCCACTAGTCTAGGGAGTCCCTGCTCATTCCTCCTATTTATGCCTTCTCCAATGGAATTTTTACTTATTCCATGAGAAGTCGAACAGCTTCTACAGGAAGACTTAGGGCAACTTTCTCCTCCCCTCCCAATAGCTGATAGCCTAGTGGTTAGAGTCTGCTCTTCTGAAAGGTGAGAGATCTGCTTCAGTTCCTTCACCGATTGAATGGCACAACTCCCACATTTGGGATGAACTGTCTAATCATTAAGCTATTAGGAAAAAAAAAGCAGTGGCAGCTGTTCCCATGTAGACCCAGTCCCGCCAAACTTACTTTACAAAGCCTACTGTGCCAGACAGACTGGGTCTCCAAAGAGCTAGAAGAATCCTAGCAGGGCTTGGTAGTGCTAGGCAACAGTTGCTCAGCCCTGTCAAGACTGATGTATGGAGTATGCCTAGAAGTAGATCTTATGGCACTCCCAGGGTTAGGTGGCACCTAAAAGGGGGTTTTGAGGCCTGCAGTGTTGGACTTAGGCATGCAGATTGGGAGTTAGAGGGCACTTGGTGGCCTAAGTCCTTTGCGAATCTAGTACCAAGCAACTGCAAGCAGCCACAGATTCCTAGATGCTAGGGTTGGAAGGGACCACAACAGATCATTGAGTCCAACCCCTTCAGATCTTCTCTGAAGTTTACTTACAGCCATAGGGGTTGGTACTTTTAAAGGTGATGTCAATCGGAAAATTCCACACAAGGGTTTGCTGTGCATCTCCACTTTTAGAGGTGATCTGAGATATTCCCTCTTCCAAACCCTAGAGCAAGAACATTATACGTTACATATTGTACAAATGCAAGACACAAATAATAGGGCATAGATTCATAGATGTTAGGGTCGGAAGGGACCTCAATAGATCATCGAGTCCGACGCCCTGCATAGACAGGAAAGATTGCTCAGCTCAGATTACCCCAGCCAGATGTCTATCCAACCTCCTCTTGAAGGCATGTTAGAGAATGAAATGCAGATATGTATTTGGGAGGTGGGGGCAGGGAAATGGCTTTGCCTGGGTTACAGAGAGACCACAGGCCAAATTTTCAGTGGGTCCCTATATGTGGTACAGTTTGCTTGCTTGCTCAAAATGCAAGATAGTGCTCTGTGTGCCAACTGATCTACAATTAGAGATCCCCACTGCAAAAGCTGGCCCCCATTCACCCTGAGTGTGAATCTAAGCTACAAAATTGTATTGACATTTATGAAAAGCTTTGATTGGACCTAGCATGAAGTACTTTGAATATCTGAACCACAACAAAAAGATGGGTATAATTAAACCACTAACAGTGCACAGGGTATACATGACATTATTATTCAAAGTACCATACGAATATTAACAAAACTTTTCTCTTCCTCTTTAAAGTCAGAACGAATAATTAAGCTCGGTTTCTAAGCAAAAGAATAACAGACACAGGAAAGTGAAACAAGAAGATCGAATGTCAGTCAAAGATTAACATTCAAGACACATTAACATTGATGTGCTTCATCAACTAGAGCACTCTCTTCCCAAGGCAATTTAACTAAATATCAGGATTCTAAATACTGGAAGAAAAATCGCCCTCTTTGTACTTACGGAGCAATTTGCATTATAGCCAAATTGCAGTAGCATCCTCAATCTCATTATGGACCAGAACCTCTCTGTACAGGGTACGGTACAAACACAGAACAAAAGAAAACGTTTCTGCTGGACGCTGGATTTCTAACAACCCCCATGTGATTAAACCAGTGGTTCTCGACCTTTTTCCACTCAAGGCATCCCTCATTAGACTCAAGACACCCCACCATAATTTTTTGTGAATTGTGTGGCTTCCCCTTTTGAAGACTAATTTATTTACTACAGTGCTTACTTCCTTGCAGAGAGACTGGGAATGGCCAGGCAGGAATAAGCCTGAGCCTGTGCTTATACCTTTAAATGACTCTTGGCACCCCAAGGAGCCACAACACCCTGGTTGAGAATCACTGGTCTAAACTGTGAAGCGCAGCACAGGAACGCAGCCAGGAAATTTGGCCTGAGCCTCATGATAGTTTGAGGAAACCATCACAGCCACACACGAAAACCTCAATAAATGCGCTTACCGTGGTGGGCACCCAGTCATGGCCGTAGACAAAGCAATACTTGCAGTAGAGATCGTCAAACTCTGGGAACTGGAAGAGAAATCAAACCAAGTGTTGTTAGTCTCAAAGGTGCCTCTCTCTATCTTATCTCTGCCTAAAAAAATAAGGGCTGCCTTTCTCCCAGGAGAAAGCCTTTTGTCCTGGGATCCTGCAGATGTACCATTGTCCCACTTTCAGTACCTATGAAGTAGGAAAGATCAAACCTCTCAAATGCAACACCTGCTTGCTGCCTCAGGCTACAAACAGATGCCACATTTGAGTCCATTTTGATGGATCCCAGTCAAATCCTGGAAGCGGTATAACCCTTTACACATGCACTTTTATCCTGGCATCCTCCCTGGCTTGCTCCGAGGGCCTTATGGCTGAGGGCAAGCAAAACTGGGGGCATCCGAACCCCCAGCCTCCGGGCTTGGGCCTGCCAGTGGGATGCCCACCAAAGGATTTGGATAAAAGGATTTGGAAACATCTAAAGCTCCAGGTGCGCATGGAGGATGTTTGCCAGTAGTAGGACCACTTATGGTTCTACACGCTTGGATTTGGAATTAGTTTTGGCTAATTCGGCCTTGGATACAAATTACATATATAAAATAAATCCTGGCATCCTACAGATTTACAGGCTCCTTGTCCCACATTAAGCACCTGTTAAGTCTTTGAGGCTAGAAACAGATGACAGGTTTAATCCACGGCTGATAGATTTGACTCGCATTAAAACTGATTTGACTCACGTTAAAAGATGTAGCTCAGCTGTCTGAACACCAGGGTTAAATGGCAATGAACTCGAATTAGTTGCAATCGTCCCAAGGCCAAGCATTAATTTGGATGCTTCCTGTGTACTTGATGCGGACAAATGGCCAGTCCAGCCGGGGTTGGCTGCGAGACGCTGAAATCTGAATCTAATCAGTTGTCGCTTGTAGCCCAGAGAAGCCCTTTGTCCCCCAGACAATCGGGGCTAGTTCAAGCTCATTGCCATTACTCTTTGGGTCACGTTACAGACAAGGATCATTGGGTAAACCTGGTATCTCTTATTAGACCAAATGGAACAATTTTTCTTTGCAAACTTTCAGGTGCAAATCCCCTTCTTTGGGTCATGCTATGCTTCTGGGGTGACTGCAGAGGTGGGATATGTCCCAGGACAAAGCCCTGGGTTGAACACGCCATCCACATGCTTCCCATAGATGTCAAGGGGGCTCATCCCTTTGCATGATCCTGAGAGAAAATAATTTATCCCAGGGCAAATCCCGCCTGGTTTTATCCCATCAGTAATGGTGTGATACCCACCCTGGACTCAGCCAAAAGCCCCCTCCACCCTGTTGCCCAACTTGGTGCATTCGCTCTACATTCCAGCCCAGCAGGGGGCGCAATAGCACATGCGCTCGGCACAAACTCCTCCCCCCCCACTCGTGCCCCGCAGAGGATGCAATGGCGCATGCGTTCTTTAGGGAGCGGGCCCCGTGAGCACCCGCCCAGCAGAGGACGCACTAGCACGTGCGCTCTGCGGCAGCTTGGCGTCCTGCCCGGCAGAGGGTGCAAAGGCGCATGCGCTCTGCGGGGAGCCGGCGACATCCGCCTACAGGGGGCACCCTGAGGAGGGGGGCGGTGACCCCCAGACTCCAACGTGGAGGGGTTGTAATGGCGCATGAATGCAGCCGCGCTCACCTGGGCGCTCTCGATCTGCCCCGTCACCATGAGCAGGAAGACGCTAGGGCTGGCGGCGGTGGCCATGGCGGCGGGCGGCCCGGCCCGTTGCTAAGGGCCGCTGTCGCGCCGCTCCTTGGATACCAGACGGCTAGGCGCAGGGGACACACTTTCAGCGCGGGCGGCGCTGCGCCAAAGGGGCGGGGCCAGGGCCGGGGCCGGAGATCTCGGCCCTGCTGCGGGCTCTCCGGAGCTCTTGGCAGGCCGAGCTCGCGGCTGGTTTTTTCTTTTCTTTTCTTTCTTTTTTTATAGAAAAAGTGAAACCTGAGGCTGGTCCTTTTTTTTGTTTCTTTAGTTTTGTTTTCTTTACTAGAAAAAGTGAAGCTGGTTCTTTTTGTGTGTTTTTGTTTGTTTTGGGGTTGTTGGTTTTTTGGTGTTTGTTACTAGACAAAGTGAAACCCGAGGCTGGTTTTCCTAGAGTCAACCCCCCCCCAAACAACAACAACAACAACAAAACAAAACAAGAAAACCCCCAGTGAACCCCAAGACTGGTATTTTTGGAGTGTGAAAAGCTTGGGGAGCAGGCGTACGGCTTTCCTCTGCCCCCTGATCCTAGGGAAAGCCTTCCTCAAGACGAGGGCTGTCATTGCCAACCCCCTGGGACTGCCCTGGCATCTCTAGGAATTAGATATAAATCCCTAGGAGATGACTGAGAGTCGCCGGGAAGATAAATGAGATGGCATTTGTTCAGATAATTATGCAATGTTGAATCTGATTTGTACAATAGTCCAGTGGCTTTTTTAAAATGTCAGTGTCCCGTGCATCGGCCTTCCTGCCATGAAGTCTATGCACCGTAATGAATGCTGTTCCGTCACAGGCTGAAACCTGGAATAGATTCAAACAAAGTTGGCAGCCCTGCACTCAAAACCCCTATTCTTCTTCACCGAGACGTGCCAGGGAAGACCGTTTCAAAACGCCTTGCTCCACATCTGCTTTTCACAGAGCTCCTCCGGAAGCTGGAAACATGGGGTGAAAATACCCCGCTGGTCACTGGCTAGGATGGCAGAAGCTCTTCTGTCCAATTTTGATGATGGATCCATATAGGATGGGTTGGACAGGGATGATCCTGCTTCAGGATCCCTCAGTGACATCTGGAGGTCCCTTCCAGCCCGGCTTCTCTGCGAAGCAAGTTAATAAAAAATAGATACACTAGTAAGAGAAGGTAGAGGTGGCTGCGTGTTGTGTTTTTGAAGCCCACGCTGGAGACAAATTGGTTTTTCAGGGGTATATGAAGAGCTGGCTGATGGGCTCTTTTGAGTCCCTGGAAACCTCCCTGTATCTCTGTTTCTGGACTCTGTCTCAGCCTTTTGCTTGGGGTTTATTTGGAAGTATTTTCCTTGTTCTTGAAAACCAGATGAGTCCCTTAAGATGGTGCCAGAGTGGGCAGCCAGTGGAGAAGATGAACCAGCACAGCTAACTCTAGGAGCCAGCACTAATCTACCTGGATGCATTCAGTAGGTGCATCTACACGTTCACAGTTACTGCACAATAATTTAGGTTACGGTGCAGTAACCGAAAATTACTGTGCAGTACGGGCACGTATCTACACGTGCATGCCTGTACTGTGCAGTTAGTATGGCGACTTAGGCCGACTTGGGCGTAAATTTGCTACTTGCATGATTCAGGTAGCAAATTTATGCCTGATTAGTTATTGTGCAGTAAGGCACGTGTATAGATTCATAGATTCATAGATTAAGGGTCGGAAGGGACCTAGTAGATCTTCTAGCCCGACCCCCCGCCAGGGCAGGAGAACAACAAAAAACCCCGAAACAAGAAACGGGACTCAAATGAGTCTAGCCAGGTAGGCATCCAGCCTCTTCTTAAAGACCCCCAGGGTAGGGGCCAGCACCACTTCCCTTGGAAGTTGGTTCCAGCTCCTAGCCGCCCTAACTGTGAAGTAGTTTTTGCGGATGTCCAATCTATACCTCCTCTCCATCAACTTGTGCCCATTGCTCCTTGTTATGCCAGCGGGTGCTAGGGGAAACAGCGTCTCCCCCAAACCCTTCTGGTCCCCCCTAGTGAGTTTATAGACGGTCACCAGGTCCCCCCTCAGCCTTCTCTTGTGAAGGCTGAACAGGTTCAGGTCCCGCAGTCTCTCACTGTAGGGTCTGCCCTGTTGTCCCCGGATCATGCGGGTGGCCCTCCTCTGGACCCTCTCCATGTTGTCCACATCCCTCTTGAAATGGGGCGCACAGAACTGGACACAATACTCCAGCTGTGGCCTGACCAGCGTCGCGTAGAGGGGGAGGATCACCTCCTTGGCTCTACTCGAGATGCACCTGTGGATGCACGACAAGGTCCGGTTAGCCCTGCCAACCATGACCTCGCATTGTCGGCCCATGTTCATCTTGGAGTCAATAATGACTCCAAGATCTCTTTCTGCCTCCGTGCTCTCAAGTAGGGAGTTCCCCATTGTGTAAGTGTGCTGCTGGTTCCTACTGCCCAAGTGCAGCACCCTGCACTTGTCCGTATTGAAACGCATCCTGTTCCTGTTAGCCCACCCCTGTAACCTATCCAGATCCCTCTGCAATCTCGCCCTCCCTGCTAGCGTGCTCACCTCCCCCCAAATTTTGGTGTCATCAGCGAATTTAAACAGGTTACTTTTCACCCCATCATCCAGATCGCTGATGAAGAAATTGAACAGCGCAGGCCCCAGGACCGAGCCCTGGGGGACTCCGCAACCCACCTCCCCCCAGGTTGAATATGACCCATCCACCACCCCCCTCTGAGTGCGACCCCTCAGCCAATCTGCAATCCATCTGACTGTGTAGATGCCTTACTGTGCAGTAACACTATGTGGACTGCCTTGGGACTAACTTTAGTTAGTCTACACATGCAGGTGTTACAGCAGAGTAACGTTGTGTGTGGACTGATTTGGGACTAGCTTTAGTTAGTCTACACGTGCAGGTGTCTATGTGTGCAGGCGTTACAGCATAGTAGCGTTGTGTGCGGACTGACTTGGGACTGGCTTTAGTCCCAAGTCAGTCCACACAGCCTTCCTATGCTGTAATGCCTGCACATGTAGATGCTGACCTAAAAACCGCTTACTGTGCAGTAACTTTCTGTGCAGTACGTGCACGTATAGACACACCCAGTGTCTTTGTGTTCAGTCCACTTGGTCCTTTCAAAAAGTCAGACTCGGGTTGAAAGGAAGTTCAAAGGTTGTCTCCACGCAGTGGCATCTAAGAACGAAGCTTTAGGCGCATCACACAGGGCTGGAAAAAAGTGGGCATCGTGGGAGAAGTAGATTTGCTGGGAGAGAAGGAGAAAGGGCAAGTGCGTAGGTTGGGGCCAGGCAGAGAGAAGGCGCCGTCTTGAAAGAAGTGGGCAGCCTCATCTCCCCACACCTTCAAAATTGACCCATCCCTGCTTTTGGCATGCAGTGGCACGGTGCACCATAACTTCTGCCAGCTGTCCTGGGTTAAAGTTTAAAAACTGGAGGCCTAACTTGATCTTATGCCTTACTTACCCTGAGTGTCTAGACCACTTCCTACTGCATGTGATTATATTTCACCTAAGCCACCATATACATACAAACATGATCGTAAATTCGAGTGTTGCAGGCCCCATCCAAGGCATCTGGACACTGGGCTTGCCCTTATACTTATTTATTAGACACATGGTTTGAACCCCTGATAAGAATCAGGTCAAGCAAATCCCATTTTGCTCTCCGATATCCAGTTGGTGGCTACAATCAGACCCGCAAGGCAGTGGCCTGACCGCATGAGAAACAAAATGTTCCTCATACAGAAACCAGCCAGTTCTAGCAGGCATCCAAGAGATGATTGCAAAACCTTTTGTTTCTGCCAGAGAAAAATAGCCTTGATGTTCACTTGGTTCCAAAACAAAGATTTTGATTTGAAAATGTAACGTTCAGAGAATAAGCCTGTTTCTTTTGGACTTGTGGCACCTGAAAGAAAATCTAAACTTTGCTGCCACGTAAATACGTAACGCTGCTGACTGCCACTAGATGCCACCAGCGGATTACCAGTTGGGGGACAGCTAGGATCATTAAAAGGAAATATGGCTTACATTGCTGTTGAAAGAGAAGTTTAAAGGCACCACCATATTTTACAAGACAAAGAGAGCAGAGTAATTCTTAACCCTGCACACTCACCACAACTGAACAGGGTTTGCTCAGGTTTTTGGAGATATTTAGGTGCTTAGCTCTCGCTGAAATCAATGGGGTTTAGGGGCATAGAAACTTTGGAGTATCTCGCTGTCCATATCCAAGCACTCTAGGGAGCTGTATAGTTAGGAGGCGGATTTATAGGCAAGTGCACGTTAGTCCGAGGAGACGATTTACAGTGCATTTCATGGGGGAGGGCAGCTTAAGAAATGGATGAACACAATGACAGCTCCTTTAGCAGAACCTCGCATCCTGCAGAAGAGTGAAGTGCTAAGCTGGGCTCATTGCTGGGATCTGCTGAGACTATTGCTGAATGGCGAGGGGAAGAGAGATTGTTCCCCCGGGGTGAGAAGTACCATCTTGGCTGAGAAGCTGGAGGCACTGAGTGCTGAAGTTTTCAGCCTACTCGGAAAAGTTTTCCCAGCTATGATGAACGATACCGCGGGGGGGGAAAATAAATCATGTACATCTACATTTGCATCGGGGTACTGACAAGAGCCCCAGTGTAGGGACATTTATACTTGCAGGATCAGCCCTTTGCCCATAGTCTAGTCAGGGAAGTGGTATAATGTACACCAGTAAAAGAACTGGTGTGCCTAAGGAGCCTGTCCCTGGGGTGTTTGGTTGGTACAGCTACTCCAGTAATCTTTTCCCAGCATGAACAAGACCTCAGGCCTTTGTAGTCTGAACTCCAGTCCAAGTCGGACCCCGTAACAGCCCCGCATCCTTCATGGCTTGAGGACACAACACGCACCGGCCAGCACATCTCAGCCATGCAGCCAGGCAAACATGAGATACATGAGATGGCTCGTGTCCGCACACAGGCAGGCTTTGCAAGCCACCTCAGCCAGATAAAACGTGGGGCAACCTGTCACCTCCGAGCTCTCAATTCCCAAATGGTTGCTAACCAGGGGCCCAAATCAGGGCAGCCTCCTGTAA